TATGAAATTGCCAACGAATTTCATCAAACAACTCATGAAATTCTAGGAATTTCTCGTATAAACTTTTAGAAATTCAACGTATATCTATTAATCCCCTTCCTAAAAGGTTCTAAAATCCATTCGAAAATTCTACCAAATACGCAATATATTTAAGATCCTTATAGAAACCTCTAAATATATTTAGAAAAATTTCAAAAATATAATAGATTACATTTCTATTTATTCATATTATTATAAGATTCTAAGAAATACGACATATATTTCAGAACCCCCCAGAAAATTATGAATAACTCTAAATACCAATACCATTGCAAAACCGTACAAATCAACAATTCCCAGCTTTAAATACGCACACACACACACGTATTACATGCAACATACAATGTGCAACCCACACAACGCAAGACAAACAACCTACCCATATATAACGCACACAACACACACACACACACAACGCACACAACACACAAACAACGCTTACAACACACGCACAAGACACACAACGCACACAACACTCACCAGACCCCATACAACACACAACACACACCACACAGCACACAACACGGAATTTATAACACCACGTTTTCACCCTCCATTCAGAAAAATTCATTGTGAGAGTTTTTCTATATCTTACTTATCTCCCACTTAAATGTATGTCTATATATGATAATATCATGAAAGGATTTCTGAAAAATATAACGCACCTAACCAATTATCTTAATAACTCGAAAAATTCCGACATTTCTTGTGTTCTGCAATTTCTACATTTTCATCAATATCGAGATGAAGATGAACATAAATTGATCTAATTTTTTTCTCATCTGAAGATGGCATGTTGGGGTATTGCCTGAAGCTGAAGGCAGCACCCGCACAAAAGCCGGGATCATGAGAAGATGTTCTTATTGATTCAGATGTGCTTACATAGAAAACTTGGATGAGATATATATCTGCATATTGTCTGGTATTAAAAAATTTGATGACAACTGTTTTGAATGATTGCTTGAAATATTAAATATAGCGGACCGATAATTTTCTTTTGATTTCGGCTGGGGGATCTCTCGTCATCGGTGTTCTTTCATACACCATATAGAGGTGTCGGGACGGCTCCTGCGCATGGGGATCCGCAGAGTCAGATGATTCAAGCATTCGGAAACCTAAGGACAAAACCGAGGGAACAATAGAACTTCTCTGTTGCATGACTGCTCCTCACAAAAAGGATCTTCAATTCTGTCTAGCAGTCTGACGGATACCTGAAGATCAATTTGCTGAAGATGAAAGATTAAGCTGGTGACTTGCCGATTCAAGAATCAGTGCTATGTCTTCACATACGAACTCCCAAACTCTGGAAGTAGCAAAATCGCATCAGGCCGGTCAAGGGCGAAAGCACTTGCGGGCGGCTCCGTGCCGCTAGCACTTTCCGCAACCAACTCCCTAAACCCTGAAGCCCTGAATCCCATGAGGTCTTGTCGTAGGGGAGCGCGGCAGACTCATCGAAGAGCTGCATCGTGTCGCCGATGCACTCCTGAGAAAAGGGAGTTTTAGGGAAGATCGCGTGGAAGACGGCCATCTAATCCTACATAACGTAGTCTAGCAGCGCAACATACAGCATAATGAAGCAGAAACGGTCCAGCATGGTTCAATGTGGCTTGCTGTCTTCGACCTTCGGGTGCGCGCGAGCCCCAAACCGCAAACACTTCTAACCAGAGTGCAAGCCCCACCGCAAACACTTCTAGCCAGAGTCTGCGTATGGGATCTTCGCGTTTTGTTTCATTGGAACACTAGGGTAATGACTTCTACAATACATAACCCCCAAACCCTGAAGAGCTTCAGGCCTAAAGCACTAAGCCTAAATAACGAACCGGGCAGGGATGCCCCATGATTTGGCTCTTTGGCTGCAGCGGTGAGGCAATGGGATGCCGAGGGAGAACTGCAATAGGGCGGATTCCATCTACATAAACCGGCCCCCCTCCCGACATTTGGGATTTTGGCCTTCGGTACGAACTATGCTCAGTGCCCCGCTACACGTAATAGGACTGGCTGGTTTGCACTGGCTTGCTTTTCTTGAGAACCAAGCTTGAGATAAAGTTGAGCCGAGACGACCTACTCACCAGCCCTTGCTGGTGCAAGGGATGCTAAGCTGCAGCGACTTTCAAATCCCATCCCAACATCCTAAGTGCAGCTCTGCATGCTCAAAGCGGCCCTAACAAGCTCGAAAGACTCAAAAGCTAGCCCGACGAAGCCCGCCCCTGGAATGTGCGCACCTGCACGCTGACCTCTTGGCGGTTGTAAAACTTCGGGCTCGTCGTGCCCACGAAGCCGATGGCCCCTCCAAACATAAACCTGCAAGAAGCGGCGAAGCCCAAGATCCCCCCGACCCACCAAGCCGCAAAACGCATTGCATCTGAATCCTGCCCAACATATTCATATCACAAGCACTGCGAAACCGACATAAGAGCTATCAGTTATCCCAATACTGAAGGACTCCGAGTTCCGACTTAGGTGCCCTTCTTGCAGCGAGGTGGCTTAAAGCAATCGCTGCAGTCGCCATTCAGGTTCTCCTGGAACGAAACATGTACTACAGGAATCTTGAAACCAGTGCACACAAAGGCATCTCCCTAAACCCAAGCCCTAAACCGCCTAAACCCTAGTTTTGCGAGCGCGGGAAGGCCCGGTTCGGTCCAGGGACTTCAGGAACGAGGTCTGCGATCCGATAGAACTTCTCAACTATGCTATTTTTGCGAGTATCACTGCAGGATCACTACTGTTTATCCTCTTTGCTAACGGAGTATATCACTGAGTATCACTATGGTCGGTAAGCTCGTTGTTGCAATCTTCCTATTGCCGTGGCATGCCTCGAAATCGTGCCTTTTCAGTGCTGGCAAGGCTCTGGCTCCCGGCAGACGGTTTTGATATCCTTGTACATCACGCCTTCCTGTACACGGCTGCTGATGAGCTCAAAAAATTGGAGCTGCACGCACCGTTGGAAAACAGGGAAGCTTCGGGGTCTAGTCAAACCAGTCAAATCCCAACCCTCCCAAAGCACGGCCTGCACGGTGAAACCCAGCTTCGCATAGAGGTGGCCTCTCAAGCAGGATTTACCAGTGACGACACCGGTGCCCGTAAACGCAGGACGCAAGCTTCGTACGCGAGCACAGAAACCGGCACTTGTACGCTGTACATTGACAAAGCTGACCCATCTCGTTCTCTGTCTTGTCTCTCTCTCTCTCTCTCTCTGGGCTTCTCTCTGTCTCCCTCTCTCTGTCTCTCTGCTCTCTCTCTCTCTCTCTCTCCCTCTCTCTCTCTCTCTCTCTCTCTCTCTCTCTCTCTCTCTCTCTCTCTCTCTCTCTCTCTCTCTCTCAACCTCAACCTCAACCTCAACCTCAATGATGTACATACTGGACGACACATGTGTTTGCACATGTTTCAATGTATTGCGAGGGCGTTGACTCAACCGAAAGCCTGGGTTTCAAGCTCAGACTTGGGTCTAGGTTGCTACTGAGGAAAGATGGGGTTTCCGAAAATAGGGGACCCTAATGTAGTACCAATAAGGTACCTCTCATTGTTGGAAACTCCCAGATGCCACAAGACACCCCAATCCGAAGCCCAAGGTCTCCTCCAAAGAAAACCCATACCAAAAACCCAAAGCCCTTTACTGCTCATATACCCAGAATCCTACAGATAACTGGGTTCTTGTGAACAGGTCTAGCTTTTACTACCATCATGAGGAACCACCATTCACTATAGATCCCATTTATGGTAACTTAAACTAAATCCCTTAACAAGAACCCTACAGAAAATGGACGGATTGAGCTTGGCCGCCGAAGTCCTCCTGTAGCTGGCGCTTGTGGAAGACGTAGATGTCCTTGGGTCAGACGGTAAATTGTCTGGTTCTTAGTAGGAAATGGGGGAATGGATTATGGGGACTATGATTCGGGATTCTACACAGACTACTACAGGGATCCATTCCCCCATTCCCTACTAGGCACCAAGCAGTAAAGGTAGAATTCGTTTAGGCTTAGGGCTTCGGATCTGACGGTCAAGCTCGGTTTCGGGTTTTGGATGTCTGTAAAGAAAGGTTCAGCGTCGAGGCTGTACGCTTCAGGATTCTCTGTGCTGCTCGAGATTCGGCACTTGGGGGGGAATCTTCGGTTTACAGCCAGGCTTCAGGAAGTCGGGTTGTGGCGTACGGGTCTGGCTTCAGAGCTGCATGTCCAGCAAGATTTGTGTACGGCTTGCTGGCTGGATGGAAGCGGGGAGGCAGGGAGAGAGGGAGATGGAAGGTGTGTATTTACGTGTCTTACCATCTGTGTCCTCAAAAAAGCCTCAGCCCTCAAGACGAAGCGCACTGCGGCGCGGCTCTTGGACCGAGCTGTGCATGGAGATGGTGGGCGTATACCTGCGCCACGCACAGGCTCTACAAAGCAGGGCTGGACGGTGAACAGCTTATTCATCCTCAAGCAGGTAAGCTGAGGCTTTGGGCTTCTGACTCAGTGTCTTTTTGTTCCCCACAGGGGGCCGAAGCTCCTGAGCCCCCACCGTGAATTCTACTCTTGGCATCATTGGTAGTCCTACTAAGTGCGATTATGAGTAAGTTTATATATGTTTTAAGATTATGATACAGTTCCCGAAACCGAGATTCCAAACTTGATCATGCCAAGGGGCGAGATCTCGCACTCCACCCAGTCACCAACAGGCCCATCTGCCTCACTCCACCAGTTCCATGTTCTAAATGGTATGGCTTCTGGGTGCTGCTGGTCTTGTCGTACGTCCGAACCAGCAGACATCCCCAATCCATAACCACAACCCTGTTTTGTTCTTGAAGCGCTAGCCTGAAGGGCTGCCAACAGCTTCGGAAATTCAGCTGTTCGGCGTGGTGACACAAACTCACCAGCGGAAGGAAGCGTTCGAGGCAATGGCTTAACAAGGACATGGTCCTCCTACATGCAACGACACACAAGTCAAGTGCCACCTCAGTTTATGAGAATGTAAAACACAACATATATCTGTGCGCATGTCTTTCCTGCAGTGCTTGAACCTGGATGTGTGAATGTACCTGTTTCCAACATCTACGTATCCATGCCTCTGCGCGTACATACAAGCCTTTGACGCAAAGGCATTGACCTTCCGGTTGCGTCTATTCAGCTGTCTTGCTGTCTTTGCAAACCGACATGCCATGCCCAATCCCGTTGAACAGGCACAACCTATCAAAATTCCAGCCTGCTTTGACAGGGTGAGACTCCTGTACTTACCCAACAAACCCATCAGCGATGTCAACAACCCTAATCCCTGTACCCTAAAGCCTAAACCTGACTCCCAAAACCGTTGCATATAGGGATACTACGTATAACTGTAGTAAGGAACTCCCAAATCCGTATAGGTAATTGTTTATTACCGACCCCACCCCACTCCGCCTCTCCTTGAGCTGGTCTCGCCACCGTTGTCTCACGCCGTGGAGGAGCCAACACGAAGGCCTCCAGACCAGATGCCCCCACCCCCCCCACCCACCCCGCAGGGCCGTTATGGCTTCTAAGGTTCCGGATGGAGGAACATTTTGCCAAGGAATAGACCCGGTGTTTTCATGCAGCATTTCAGGGTTTGGGTCTGTACTGGCTTTGGGGGTCCTGGTGAATAGAACATTTCGCACAGAACAGAGGGCCTACAGCAGAAGCTCGGGTCTTGGGGTGAGTTGTGCTTGCTGAACTTTCCCATGTTTCAGGCCATGACAGTGCTCCTTCAGTCGGAACTCCACAGTCTACACTCTAGTTGCTTCTTGCGGCTGGACAAATCTCGGAGCAGGAAGCTCATGCAATTCGACTCTGTCATAAACGACAATCAAGGAGAGCCCACAGTATCTGTCCATGCTCTCCCGGTGAGCACCTGGAAATGCCATAAAGTCAGGACCACAGCAAGCCACCTTAGCAAGAGCTTGTCAGTATGTACAGGGTCCACCATTGAGGTTCCTGTCCGAAAACCTGAAGACGAAACCCTGTCTACACAAGGCAGGAACAAGTCGAACGCATCGTTGGTTGTGCATTCTGACCGTTTGAGCTGTTCGATTGTAACCTATCTGAAGTTGGCTACCTGCACGGTCATGTGTTATGTGCAAATACACGACTACCTACGCATACAGGGGGATATATGTATATGCTTATATATATATATATATATATATACATACATATATACACACACATGTGCGTGTGCGCGTGCATGTGTGTAAACGTATGTATATGTGTGTATCACATGTACATGTCCATATATATATATATATATATATATATACAGACCGATAGACGGCTGTGTATGTATGTATGTATGTATGTATGTATGTGTGTATGCATTTATTTATGTATGTATGTAGGTATGCACACATACATGTACATGGCATCAGTACCCTTGTGCATGTCATATATTCATATGCATATACACATATATATATATATATATACACACACATATATACACATGTTACCTATGTACATACATATATATATATATATATATATATATATATATATATGTGTGTGTGTACTTATGTATGTATGTATGTATGTTATGTTATATTATGTTATATTATATTATATTATATTATGTTATATTCTATTGTATTATATTATACTGTATTATATATATATATATACACACACTTGTGTGTACGCACACACATATGTTCGTAAAGAATGCCTTGGCTCGTATTAGTATTTTCGCAGCAGAAGGACGGTCTACCTTGATACCGCCCACAAAACAACCCTGCAAGCAAATGCTGCGACACTTCTCTGCTTGCATTTCGGTTTGTGGAAAAGTCGGGCTGTCTTCTCGATTCTCGGGTCTGAGACATAGGGCTTCAGGTACATTCCGGGTCTGGCGCTGCAAGGTCAGAGCTCGGGTTTGGTGCAGTACGGTTTGCAAGGATTTTGGGGGCTTGGGCTTCTGCGCACCTACACCCTAGCCAGGATGTGCGAAGCCAGAAGGCTTGAACCCCGAAGCTTCCGAACAGATGCTCGAAGGTTCGCCAACCCTAAACTGGTCCCAAACCCTGAACCCACCCTAGTTGCCTTACACCAAGCTTTTGGTAAGGCACAGCGCGACAGAGCCAGGGCGCTTTTGCACCAGCGACATGGCCAGGATTGGAATCTTAAAAGTAAAGCTTCCAACTTTTAAGCCCCCATGCTGTGAGGGTTACTGTGAAGGATCTATAGGGGTTCAGGAGTTTGAAGCCGAGGATTAATGTAGACCTCTCTTCACAGGTCGTAATGTTAAGATCCCAACTACTATCCCTCTTAAGAGTGACGATTTGTTAGTCCGTCAGGGGTCTGCAGTACAAGAAGGATTCCTTTCAGCATAAAACCAGGAGGCCTTAGTCATTACATTAGGGCTTTTTGGGTGATAGTGTATCCAAACTAGAATCATGACTATAAACGGAAAACAAGGGAACAATATTGAATTGAGGTTGATTTGGACGCTCGCGCATGCGCCGAACTCTGCAGCTTGACACCGAGGGCATGTCATGTCACATCGATCCAAACTCCCACGAGTTGGGCCGATTCAGGTCACGGGTGTTGAGATGGGTTGAGGACTTTCAGCCTGGAAGCCTCATTCAGGGCTTCGCTAAGTGGTGCTTCTGGCATGTCGCAGGAAGATTCAACCTCCGGGATTCAGACGTTCGCAGGATAACCTGCGGCGAAGAACCTGGCCAAAATGTAGCGCAGATTTCAAGGGCTTTTGGGGGTCTAGACCATGCTCCCGTAGTCCAACACCTCGACCTCAAGGCCTGTTGAAAGTGCAGAGGCAGCACAGTCGGTTGCTTGCTAGATTGTGGCTGGACATGTCAAAAACAGAACAAACACGCCCGGAACCTGCGACGGCCCTTACCCGTGCTTCCGAACCCTGCACAGAAGCGTTACACTTGATCACAGGCTTTTCAGAAGTCACCACAGCGCGATCTGACAATCTAGTCATTGATATGTCACAGATCATGCACTTGGGTTTCACCCTCGTGCCCACGTGGCACTGAACTAACTAAACAGTTGATGGCCCCGCCAGGAGTTGCAGGATCCAGGGTCTCTAACAAGCTGCCGATCTGAGAGTCAAACAAACCCCTAAAGCCTAAACCCTAAACCCCTAAAGCCTAAAGCCCTAACCCAAAAAGCCCTAAATCCTAAACCCCTAAACCCCCAAACGCTGTCACTCGAGCTTGCGACTGCCTCTTTCGAACCCTTAACCCTTGACGTTTGCAGCCACCCTGCCTTCGCTCACTTGTTGGGGCCTAATAAGGGCCTAATAATTAGAATAAGGTTTTGGGGTATATTCTACTACAGTTATAGTAAGTCATAATAAGGACCCCACCCCCTCCCCCCAGAAAAAAACCTATATTACGTCTACAGGAGGTCACTGTCGCCGTAATGCCTTCGTATGATGAGGTTGAGAAGAGTCTCATGGCTGGGACCCACGGGGACATTACCTCTGAGTTGATGCCGCCTCCCCCGTCGTTTTGGCGGCTGATACTCCGCCGAGGTACTGGGAAAGCGATTGAACTTGTTCCGTCTTTTTTCTGCTGAGCTAAACGGCTTGTCATTCCTGCGATAAGCGCAGATTGCGGGCAACCAAGTAGGACTTAACAATTAGGGTCAAACGTCTCCGGAATGCCGGGGTGGTAAATTGTAACTTTTGCAGACTTCAGCAGTTCCGCAGGGCTCGATTTCGGCTGACACCCCCAACATAGGGCATTAGAGTTTGTGGCATCAAAGTGATCTTTGCAAGTCCTATCGTCAGCTCCTGTGTTTACTCCTTTTTTGTCAGCCAAGGTGCTCACCACCGTTGTAGCGACAGCAATGTTGCTGCCATTGTTTTTATGGTCACCACCGGGACTTTCTTACATTCGTCTTGTTCGCTTTCGGCTTGCTCGTGCATTGATCGCAGTGACGAATGAGTCAGAAATGCTGCGGCTGAACACCCTATATTTGAATGGCATTGGTTTGGAGGCATATGCCTCTGAACTGCTCCATTGAACAAGCTTGGATGAAATCCAGGGTCAAGGGTCTCTTAGCGTTTGGCGATGTTTGGAGTAATTTTCAGGGAGTTTCCGAATATTAGGGATTAGGGGTACCTTATTTGAGGGTCCTTATAACAAGGATCCTACTGTTTAAGGTACTATATTACGGTCCCCTATTTTCAGAAACACTCATCAGGTAGCTGTAGGAAGTCATCCTTCAGCTGCGGGGTTGCACTCTGCGGGGCCATGTCTTGCCTAACTTCAGAAAGCGCACACGCATGTCGCTCATGAATTTCTATGCTCCTAGGCAGCCAAACATGGGAAGGTGGCTGACAACGAAGTCTCTGGTGCAACGGCATAGGCCGAACAAATACTACCGCTTCTCCAGTATTCACTTAACAGTCAAAAATTTATACACTACCCAGCTCCCTAAAGTGAATGCGTTCAATCTGTCACCTCGTAAGCCCCCCATGCTTACAGCCGCGATTGCAACCGGAATGTGAGATCCTCTCGACGCACGATCAGGAACCACCCTCAGTGGACAGCAAAGGTCGGAGGGAGGGAGTGTGGAATGTCTGTGTTCACCGAACTCTTTCGGGCAATCAGGCAGAGTATGCAAAGGAAAAGCATCTGACACTGAAGGCCGAAATGTGCTGCATGCTTTACCCCGATGCACCCCCGAGCCCGAAGCCCTATTCAATCACACAAGAGCCCGATTTCACACCAGTAGCTTGTAAACGATTGTTGGGACTGGCACCATAGCAGTTGCAACAACCACCACGAAAGGCCTTCTGAAGTAACCACGCGCGTGTAAACTGTCCAAATCTTCCCACGACACCTTGCTGGAAACATGCATTGACACTCTCAACCGCCATAGACCCGAAACCACAACAAACGCAAACCCCTAACGCCTAGGAGCTCCTGACTGAACCCTAGACCCTAAGCTTCCGTACCCTCTCGACTACATGCCCGGGAGTAAGGTTTCGTCGCGTCGCATGCGCCGGAGAAAGTAACGGTGGGCGGAGCACAGGAAGTCACGAACACTGGCTAGCGGAGCAATTACCTCACTCGAATGAAACCGTAAAACATGTCAATGTTCGGGGCAGAGGACCTGTGGAGGAATTTACCGTGGAGAGGAACAGCTTAGCGCGGGAGGAACCGTTGGACCGGTTATTTGTCGAGACTGTTAGGGTTTTAAGGCTGAGGCTTCTGACTTGCCAGAGACTCCAATATCCCTGAATTAAGGAATATACCTTAACTTATATTAGGGATCCCTGGTATGATTTAAGGTAAATTCCGTAATTAACGGATACTGGAGTCTCTGGGTTCTAACATGCATCAGCAACACAGAACCAATGATACAAGCAACAGATTCTATGATGGTCAAGATGAGAGCAGCAGCGGTTGGCCTCCACCGGCAAAGCGATCGTAACTGTTGGGTGGACTGACTAGTCGAGGCATGTCCGGAGTGAGAAGCCTCGTAGCAAAAGTCAAACGATAGCAACAGCACCAGGGTTGGCAAGCAGCTGACACCACAGTGGCAGCAAAACCAGTGCCGTGAGAAGTCTAAACGAAGAAAGACAGAGTGCTGATAGGTAGCGGACTCAACGCAACAGTGAGCCTGCTATTGGCAACATGAAACAGCCGGCGACGTTCTTCCTTCGTTCCCAAGATAGGCCGCCAAGGGGCAGCAATACTCGGCTTGTCCGGCTTTTCGAAGAAGAACGTCTGGGACTCCTCACAGAGCAGGATTCTGTGAGTGTGCACTTTGTTGCAGACCCAGAGGAATGCTCAGCTGCATCTCAGCTCGAGCTAAAGACGATAATTGAAATCACCCAATATAGGGGCCTTGAAATTATAATAGGGTTTGGTGTTTAATATATGTATACTACAATTCTGATAAGGAACCCCCAAAACCATATTTTAGTTGTTAAGGCTCCTACATTAAACCAAAGCTGCCCATGGCTCCCTCTAACTCTATGAAGGGAAAACTGCACCATGCGCCTTCAACTTGCATCATTCAACCCCTTGAGCGCTGCAACAACACAAACGCTTCGAGAACGAACCCACCTTCTGTTTGGGGCCTTGGCAGCGCAATTATGGTGTGTTTTCTACAGCCACAAAAGCCTCGAATCTGCGGCAGCTGCACACGCAGCCCTATCCTGGCACCCGTTTAGGTCTACACCTCCGAAAGATTTCAAAGCAGGCCTCATGCCACCACCAGTGAAAGGTATCGGCGGTATCGGACTCAAACCGCTCCCTGGCATGAGAAGCTGGGAGCTGCGGGTGGAGTTAAGTTAACATCACGCATTTCTTTGGGAGGGTCTGGGGTCGGCTCCGGTTCAAGGACTTGAAGGTGTCCGAGTTTTGGTCTGGGGCTTTGGGATAGCAAGATGTAAGTGTTGGGTGCCAGGTCAGATGATGGGATCGTGGGTGGACTTGTTGCTATATCACTTGTACTGTCGCATTATCGCTGCAAACGACTTGTGCCACAAAGTATTGCCGCTGTCACCTTCGTTGGGACCATGTCGGCTATGCTACTGCCATGTACACTATCCTTGGCACCGTTCTCTGTGCGGACCGTTGGCTAGCTATGCGGAATACTACAGCAGCCTATCGCAAACGCAGCATGGACAGCGCCAATGTCACGGGGCTCCATGCTAGCTACTCAGGACCCCGAGACCCCCAAACCCAATGCTTGGAGAACCCGTGACAGACCCACCGGCACCACGAGGCCCGAAAGTAGAGTTAGGATCAAGATTTCGGTTTAGGACGATGCCCTGTAGGGTCTTCGTGTTCTTAGGATACAGGGCCCAGCCGTTCATGCCGGTGGTTCGCAAAGCAACTTCATGGCAGGCAGGCCAGCCCGCAAGCGGCTTTTGCCCGAAGAACCACTCCTTCGAAGTTACTATAGGGGCCTTAGTAATTAATTAGAATAGGGTTTTGGGGCCCAATATACTATAACTACAATAAGGAAACCCCCCAAAATAGTACAGGTAATTGTTAAGGCCCTTGTAGTACAGGCATGTTGGCTGGAGACGGGCATCGCGCAGTCGAAGTCAAGGAAACTGTGGAATGGAAGGGCCACGTAGCATCGTGGTGGCGGACAAGATGATTCCGCCCCTGG